GGGGGGGGGGGGGTAAGAGACCGATCGCCTACCTACTTGCACACATCGATGAATCCATGGATCCACCCACCCTGTGTGACCACCGACCGAGACACACTATAGACACATACATACATACATACATTGACCGACCGACAAACAGTCCGTCCGCGGATCATCCATCCATCCATCCATATCACATGACCGCCCAAACCAGCCAGCCAGCCCCTGCACCCGCACACCCAACACCACACCAACCACCATCTATCTATCTGTCTGTCTGTTTGTCTGTCTGTCTGTCTGTTTGTCTGTCTATCCCCCTCCCTCCCTCCCTCTACACCCAACACCCACCTACCCACGGCAAGCGGCATTACACCACAACTTACACAACGCATCCTCATCCATCCATCCACCCATCATTCCATCTCTTATTGATCAGTCCGTCACACTCCGCCTCTCCCTCTCGTGTGCAACACACGGCCCCCCGTACGTCTGCCCCCGCAGCAGCCTCAGCCTCGCGAGGCTGGTCGCGTCGCGCCCTCTGCCCACCTCGTCCCTCCTCCTTCGGCGCTGATTCCGCTCCCGCTTCCAGTACCACCACCAGGGCGATTGCCCGGCGCTGAGCTTGTCACGGTCAGCAGTGCTCATTCGCTCGATGGAGGGTGACTCGTTTGTGGCAGCAGGAGACGGGAGCCTGTGTCTGCAGACAGGCACATCAATCACATCGGACAGAGAGCGAATGATGCAGAGGCAGGCCGGTCATGTCATGCGCAATCGACCGACCGACCTCTGTGTTTGCATCGTCTGATGGTCCGCCGCATCTGCAGAGACCACCCTGCCCCGTACACACGATGCACACACAGGCGGCTACAGAGACCATCCCCCCTCCCTGCCTGCCTGAGGGCAGTGGGTGCTGGCTGGCTGATTCACCTGTGAGTGATGAGAGTGCGTTGGAAATCCTCCTCGCGAGGGGCGGCATGCCGCCGTTGATGTAGCAGGCATAGAGATACGAGTCGTACATCTTACCCAGCAGCTGATAAAACTCCTGCAAACACACACACACACACACACACACACAGAGAGAGAGAGAGAGAGAGAGAGGGATACACATGACACATGACCACCAGAGCCCTTCCTTGCTGGCTCACGGGTATGTGTTTGAGTTGCTGGAACTGCAGGCTCTCGTAAAGCCGGATGGCGGCCTTGTTGTACGTCACCACATGCAGATAGATCGCCTGCAAAGAGACAGACAGACACCCACACACCACACACATCACCTCCCGGGCCCACTCGCCTGGCAGTGACCACCTCCCTCACCTTAATGGCAGGTTCCGATTGCCGGTAGTGCTGCAGTGTCCGCAGAATCAACTCACGGGCCAGACCCCGGCGGCGGAACTCGTCAGCTACACCCAGTGTGAGGATGTACGCGAGGTTCTGAGTCTCCCACGGCCAGCCGCATGCCAACACAGTCGACACATCCTGATTGACGACGACACACCAACACACACACCAAAACAAATGACACTCATGCCCCTCCTGCCCATGTGCTTGCTGCCCATGTGCTGCCCTTGTCCAGTGAGGATGCTTACGTCGTCATGTATGTGTTTCTTGTGCGTGGACACCGTGATGACCCCCACAATCACAGGCTCACCACCCTCCCCATCCTCCCCATCCTCCTCACCCCCACCATCATCGCAACACACCTCCTCCTGACCACCGCTCCCACTCCCGCCACCATCGGCCGAGGCACCCCCGCTCCCGTCCACATCTGCCATACCCTGACATCTCGCAACGGAGTTCCTCACGCAGCCAGGCGGCGATCCTATCCTCGGCAGCGGCGGAAGGCACCCCGACACACACTCGGTGGCACTGGTGGCGCGATCGTCCGTGCCATTCATGGCCGTGTGTGCGCATGGGTCATCGCCGCACCCGCCAGCCTCGTCAATCTGCAGCGATGTGTGTGTGCAGGTGTGTGGGCTGCGTGTGGGAGGGGGCGTTGGGGAAGGCAGGGAGGGGCGGGGCGGGTAGTAGACCGCGGCCAGCGCGAAGTAGTATCCGTTGCAGATGCCTTCGTAGAACTGATTGTCATACCTAAAGCACCACACAATCAGACAGACAGACCATCACATATATCAACCACACCACACCATTCATTTCATTCGCCGTGTCCGCCTCGCCTCGCCTCGCCTCCCTTGCTAGCTTACTTGAGTGGGAACCATTCGCAGTGCAGTTTGGCGATGTCATCCATGTCAGCAGGCACAAGTTGCCTGAACGTCAGCGACTCCACACCAACACTCGACAGGGCACCCCTGGCAGCGGTGCGATGCACCCTCGCCGTGAGATCGGGCTTAGCCGCACCATCGGGGAGGGCTGACGACTGGCTCTTCCTTCTACACGGCTCCCACTTTGCTCGACGGACGGGCGGCGACGGCATCGACAGCCTCATTGGCGTCAAGCAGATGAATGGATGAGACGGGTTGCCAACGTACGTGCCAGAAGTGATGAGCTACGTTTCTTTTGACGTTGACGTAACGGAAAGCGACCAGAGCGTCTGATCTCGAGGTGTAGCCAAATCGCAGATTTTAGGACATTGCGTGAAACCGCTCTCTCAGACGATGAGGACGGGAAGGGGAAGAAGCAGGGGGAGCTGCAACGGGCTGAGGGCAGCACTGGAGGCGGTTTGAATGCTTTATGCATTTTAGTCATCCTCCCGGCTGCACCATCTCCCCGACCTCTCGCGAGTCTCATCGCATTGGGCTGCCTGTCAGCATCACGTGCCACGTGCCCCTGACAGCCCATTCTCGGCCATGCGGAGCTTCAGCCACCTGCACCACCTGCTCGTCTGCACCTCCGTAGCTCTCCCCCTCATCTGCACGCTGCTTCTCGTCCCCACCCTCAAGGACTCGTCCCCCCTGTTATCGTCTCTCTTTCACCACACCGTCGCCAGCGCATTCGTCCTCAGATCGCATTCACACATCGACCTGGCCGCCCCGCCACACCACGAGACCGTCCTGGTGCGGCCGTACATGACGTCCAAGACCAGCTCTATCCCCCTCGCAGCCGTCACTCCGGCACTCACCAGCGGCGTGGAGGCGCGAGTGAAAGGCCAGACGGTCTTCTTGCCGCGGCGAGAGAAGAACCTGTCAGAGGACCCGGCGTCCTTCCCGCAGCGCAAGTACCATGCATGGCGGTGGCGTGACTACAAGGTGAATTACAGGGTGGAGGGGGACGACAGGGGGACGCCCCTCCTGCTGATCCATGGGTTTGGCGCCAATGTCAACCACTTTCTCTACAACATCGATGCCCTCGCTGCGGCGGGCTATCGGGTGTATGCCATCGACCTACTCGGTCAGCACACCACAGCACTGCACTGCACCATCCAGGAGCTGTGTCCGTGTATGGTTGGTGTGCTGTGTGTGGTGGTGTGTGTGCCATCCATCAGGCTTTGGTGCGTCTGACAAGCCGTCGCTGAGCTACACGCTGGAGCTCTTCTCTGAGCTGCTGGTGGACTTCATACGGGACAAGAGCCGCTTCCCGGGCGAGAAGTGGGTTGTCGGCGGCAACTCCATCGGCGGCCTCATCTCAATGATGACCGCCCAGACACTCAAGGACGACTGCGCTGCCGTCATATGTACGTGAGCTCACACGCGTGTGCTATGCTCCTCATGGTGTGCCTATGCATCTGTGTCACACCACGTGTTGTCATCCATCGTGTGTGTGGGTGAACTGCAGTGCTCAACAGTGCGGGTGGTCTGACGACAGTGCGCTATGAGGATTTGCCACTGTGGGGTCGGCCGCTGTGGTTCTTAGTGCAGAACATACTATTCAGCGACTGGCTGGGACCACGGCTATTCGATCGGGTGGGCTGGGGAGAGGGATGGAGGAAGGGCAACCGACAGACAGACAGACAGACAGACAGACAGACAATGAATGCATCACACCACACATCACGTGCCATTCCACTCATCTCTTCCCGTCCGTGTGTACCGTCCGTGTGTGTGTGCAGGTCCGCGACCCCACGAACCTCAAGCAAACGCTCAGCCAGGTGTATGCCGTCAAGGAGGCCGTCACACCAGAGCTCATGGAGACCCTCCTCGGCCCGTCCCGCGACGAGAACGCCGTCAGCGTCTTCCTACGCATCCTGCGAGGCCCGGCCGGCCCGACGCCTGAGGAGGTCCTCAAGGACCTGGACGTGCCCATCCTGGCCCTTTGGGGCAGAGACGACCCGTGGACACCGCTGGACCGTGGGCGGCATCCCGGGACGTCATTCCCACGGTACAACCCTCGTGTGGAGCTGCAAGTGCTCGATGGAACGGGACACTGCCCCATGGACGAGGTGAGGTGAAGGCGCGCCGGATGATATAAGGCCACACTGGATGCCACATCACATCTGTTGTGTGTGAGTGTTGTGGTGTGTGTTCAGCGTCCTGACGAGGTGAACAAGGCCATCGTGGAGTGGCTGGGGCACAACGAGGATGTGCAGAAGGCCGAGGCGTTCAACGCCAAAACCACCGGTCCCAACAATCGCAGGGCGGGTGGGTAGCGTGGCAGCAGACAGAGGGAGAGAGCCCGATCGATCGATACGCCACACAGGGCGTATCTATCGTATTGTGTGTCCATAGTGTGCATATCAGTTGGTTGGTACCATCGCTATACATACGAGACGAGAGGTAGAGAAGAGAGAGGACGGCGGCGGTTTTTCTGTCATGCCCGATCCGTACGTAATGCTGCTGCGTTTTTCTGATGTGGTGGGGTGGGGTGCTCTGGTGGGTGGGGTGGGGTGTCTGCGTAGTGCATGTGGTACATTTTTGCGGCGCGCTGAGTACCACAGTCTAGATCTTTCTCGCTGGCTGGCTGGCTGGCTGGCTCGTTCGTCAACACAGTTTTTCATGTATACATACGTGCTTGCACGTGTATGTGTGTCTGGCCGGCGATATCGCTCAATGAATGAATGAATGTGGGCCTCCTTCCTTGATTGAACTGAATTGATATGCGGTGCGGCAGGTGAAAGAAAGAAGTGAGGCCGTCAGGTGGTGATCGCAGCGGGGAGTGTGCACACCATACGTGGTGTGGCGGCCCCATTTTTCCATCATCATGATACAAGGCTCTCTTCTTCGCAATTCACTCGTGGAGGGAGGGAGGGAGGGAGGCGGAGGGGGGAGAGGGGAGAGGGGCGTGAGTGATTTTTTTGAGTGGGCACCAGTTGGGACTCGCCACACATCTGTGCCGTGTGTCTGCCTGCCTGCCTATCGGTCTGCCTGCCTATCGGTCTGTCTGTCTGTCTGTCTGCCAGCCCCTCTGTGGTGTCGGTCTGTATGGCGATCTTGCAACTGAATCAGTAGGCAGTGGGGCGAGAAAGGAGGAGTGGAGTGGGTCAAGGAAGGGGGGTCGTGTGAGGTTGTTCTTACTCACTGCAAGACGACATTACTGCTTTCGAGGCTCACCCACTCACGTGCATCTGGCAAATACATAAGTCCCCTCAGGCACACACCACGAAGTATCGACAGGCCGCGGGTGCACGCAGCACACGCACACACACACATGTGGGATTCACCTCTTTGTCTCTGTACAGTCAATCAGGCATGCTCAGACACGGACACAGACACAGATACACAGGCAAACGCAAAGAGCAAGCAAAGCAAGGCGAGGAAGGCAAGGCAGCCCAGCCCACCACCCATGAGATGAGGCAATCACTCCATCCCACTCCATTCATTATTCATTCAACAGCACACACACCAACGGCTGCACGAGCGCAAAAATACACCGCCCGTCTCTCCCGTTCCGTCTGTCTACACCCCCACTCCCACACCCCCTGAGTGAGGTATCCGATAGGCTGGCTAGCCCGAGTCGTCCCTGCATCGCCGCTTCTTGGACCTGTGCTTCTCCTTGCTCCGCGACTTCTTGTGCTTCTTCTTCTTCTTCTTCTTCTCGCGCTTGCGCTTCCGGCGGCGACGCTCTGATGGTGGGCAGGTAGACACACACACAGCAACACACACGTTGACACCGGATATCGCCTCCTCTCGTGAGTGCGTGTGTGTGTTGTGTGATGTGGCTTACCCTCCTCGCTGTCCGATGAGGAAGAGGACGAGCTGCCGGACTCACTGCGGACGTCATCCTGCACGCAACAGACAACAACAACACACAGACACACACAGACACACGAGTTCAGCACACACTGGTGGGTGCATCGGTTGGTCATTAATCGGCTCTCTTAATTACCACTTCCTCCTCGTCCTCGTCATCCGAGGCCACCCTCTCGGCGGGGCTGGACGACTTCTTGGCCTTATCCTCCGCACCGCTCTGCTTCAACGCCACCAGGTTGCGGCACTGATGCGCCAAATGACCAACTGCAGGGACACGATACGACGACACGTGTTGGAAAGGACGGGCATCTGTGTGAGAGTGGCGTCTGTCTGCGTACGCTGTCTGCATTTTGCGACATGCGCCAGGTGTGACGCTGCTGGAGTTGCCGGTGAGTCGAGCGAGGGCGAAGAGGCCCTTGGCCTTCTCACTGATGGCGGCCTCGTCCTCCACTTCCTTCTTCTGGTCTTCCGGCTCATACGGGACGTGACCAATTATTTGCTACCATCACACACACACACACACGGAGGCAAAGACGTCACTTGGGTGTCCTCGTGCGCCCTCTGCGTGCCTCTCCTCACCCAGATTGGTGTTGTCTTGAGCGAATCCGACACGCTTAGCCTGAAGACAGACAACAAAACACCGATACGACACAGACGTTCAGCAAGTAGCGGACGACGTCCACAGGGGCATGGACGACGCCCAGGTGTGTCTGTGCCCGTTTGGTCGCCCTCCCTCGTGGTACCTGTTGTCCGCAGGCATCCGCACCCGGCTCACAGTGGCCGGCATGGTGAAAGGAAACCCTGCTTCAGACGCTGTCTATTCGTCCAGAAAGCTGCGATCGGCTGAGATCTTCAAACTTCTCGCGGACGAAACGTTTGAAGCGGTTCGAGGCAAAGTCGCCTGCGAGCTCCAGCGCTCTGGCAGAGCGGTTTCACGCAATGTCCTAAAGCCTGGTCCAGTTTCCTGCACGCAGAATCAAACGAACAACACGCAACAGGAATCTCCCAGAGCTCTGACGGTCTCCTCTTTTTTCTGAAAACGACAAGCCCGGGCTGCCAGATGGACCTCTCATCGGTGCGTCGGCCAAAGAAACGAAAGAAACGAGCACACGTGTGTTTTGTGTGTTTCTCTTGTCAGGTGCTCAACCAGTGCGACCAGGTCACCAGCCAAGCCATGGACCACGACAGGCAGGGCCAGTTGCGCCCAGCCATCGAGGCAAGTGAAGTGGTCACACACCACACGTGCCGCACGTGGTGTGCAGTGTCTACCTGCTTTGAGTTCAGAAGTATCGACAGGCCGTCAACATGCTGGAGCAAGCCGCCCGCACCCTGTCGCCCGAGAGCTCCGACTACCAGGCTCTCAAGGAGCACCAGCAGCAGATACTCAACCGAGTCACCTACTTGGAGCAGCAGGCCACAGGAGGGTGGGGCGCCAGACCGGCCGCGGCCGACCAGGTGCCCCTCGAGCAGCAGGTACACATCACATACACATGAATGGAACCACACTGACACCATACCAAACATTACGCGCTCGTCCGTCTTTTGGTCGCCTGAATCGACACTGAAACGCGCAGATACGATACTCCAATGCCGCAATGGGTACGGTACCAAAAAGGGCCAGAGGAGAGCAGAGAGAACAAAGTGCCACCTTCCCACTTACAATGGCTGTGTGTGTGATGTCTGGTGACTGTCAATCAGCCTTGGCTGCATCGGCTGAGAGTGCTGCACAGCGGGCGGGCGGTGTCAAGACAATGGCCGCTGCAGGCGCCATCGGTGCCGTGGCTGGTGGCCTGCTGTTGGGGCCTCTGGGGCTGGTGGCCGGCGGCGCGGGAGCTGCCTATGCCGCCACCAGGGGCGACAAGGTGACCGAAACGACAACGGAAAACCACACGTGAGAGTGGGTTGAGGTGCACACACGTGTGTGCCGTGTGTGTGCATTTCGATGACCAGGCAGGGGAGGTGGCGCGTGGTGTGGGTCAGGGGGCCCTAGGTGCAGTGGACAAGACCAAGGAGATGAATCAGAGATATCGTGACAATTTTTGAGATGTGGCAGGCCGCTTGACGGACCCAATACATGTGTGTGTGTGTGTGTGTGGTCTTCGTTCGTTGGTTCAGACATCACGGAAAAGACGACAGAGGCCGCCAAAGCCACCTACAACAAGGCGGTTGACTTCGAGCAGAAACACCATGTGAGCAGCAGCAGCAGTTTGTGTGCACATGGTCACGAACCTGTCCCTCCTCACGTGTGTGTGTGACTGTCTGTGTGTGCAGATCGGTGAGAAGGTGGGCAAGGGCTTCCAGTGGGTGGGAGACAAGGCCAAGGAGGCCGAGCAGAAATATCACATCACCGACAGGGTAACAGAGGGAGCCAAGACAGCCACCCAACTGGTAGAAAGACAGACAGACAGACAGGCAGAGAGGCCAGCACAGCGACCTGCCTGCCACCCTACCCGCAAAACACACAGCCGTGCATCCATCCATCCATACACACAGACACGCAAGGGTGGGTGATTTGATCGGGTGCCTGTTTTGATCGCTGCAGATTGGCTCAGGAATTGCGTCCGGCATGAGTGCCATCAGCAACGCCATGAGCAAGAGCAGCGGACCCACCACCGGCACACAGCAACACCCACACGGCCAGCAGCAAAACCTCAGCCGATCTGAGCCGCCTCTCTGACTTTCTGCCCCGTATTTGGTCAAGCGACTTGGCCCTTGTTTTGTACTGTGGGGTGAGGGCGGGGGGGCGGGTAGTCGATCTGCTTTCCTAGTGGGACCTTCAAGCGGCTGTTTTGCCTTGACCAGCTGTCAGTGTAGTGCTGGGATGATTTGAACAAACATTCCTTGTATAGAGCAGGGTAAGACGCAGGTGCTGTTGATGGATGAGAGACTGACTCGTGTTGGTTGGTTGACTGATCGAGATCGACCGATGCGATCGATGCATGGCTCTTTTATCAATGTCCATCCATCCAACACGGTCCAATAAAGTTAACAATTAGGTGTTTCGAGAGACTGAATTGCCTCTCTGTCGAAAAAACTGCATGTGCGGTCGATCAGTCAGCCACATATCGCCACACACAGCAACAACAACAATGACGCACCCAAAAGTGACAAACGACCACACATACATAATTACCACCACAAACAACAGCGACAACAGCAACAAGACGGCCCGAATTAGATACTCGGTCGACTCGTCGATGAACCGACCGACCAACCGATGAATAAAGTTATCAATCAGCCATATCAATCAATCAATGAGTCGCTAACCCTCCCCCCTCTAATCCCCCTGCTCTACTCAGAACCCATCGCATCAGCTCTTCCTTGACAGCACGCAGCTCATGCTGCAGCCTATCCACCTCCAGCCGCAGCTCAGCATTGCGCAGCTCACAGGCCCCTGCGACCTCCTGCAGCACCTTCATCCTCTCGATGGCCTCAAAGTCCCTCTGCGGCAGGGCCGGCAGCCTGCGCAAACTCTCGGTGAATGTCGGCAGGCCCGGGAAGCGTGTGGCGACGCCCCACCTCTGCCCCTCCTCCCTGATGCAGGCGTCCAGCACCTCGCGCAGCCCCATGTGTTGTCCGCGGATGCAGAAGAGTCGCACGTGGTCGCGCGCCACGGCCCGATTGCTGCCGCCGGACAGCACGATCTTGTGGGCGCTGCTGACAAAGTGATGCACGATGCCTTGTATCTCGGTGCGGAAATGGTCCTCGCCGATCCTGGGGACCCACCACGAGGTGAGGAAACCACTGATGTGGTGGATGGTGTCGGATGGGAGGCGGAGTGTCTTGTTGGCGGTGAGGGGGATGCACTGGGTGAGGGACGCCAGGATTGATCGCGTGGGGCGGAGAACGTCGTTGATGCAGTGGAGGATGTTGTCCGGCAGATCTATGCTCAGGTGCACGCCATAGGCTGTCTTGAGGAATCTCGCCTCTCTCGTCTCATCCTCGTCAAATCCATCAGGGCCAGAGGCCAGTGACACAGACGCTGCGCACACACATGCACACGGGACAGGACAGGACAAGACATGATCCGTTTAGTCGTCGCACAGACCCACGAACACACACTCCCTGGTAGATGCGATGCGTACCTCCCCACTTCAGGAGCCTTCGCATCATCATCAGCGACTTCGGGGCATGCCTCTCTGGCGGCAAAAAAGAGTCCCACTCATCCACTGCTTCACGCGTCAGGTGACCCAAGATGGTCCTCTCGGGATCAGTCGATATCGTCTCATTGATGTGATGTATCACGTGTGGGTCTTGCTTGAACAGCCAGTCGACCATTGTCATGCACAACGACGAAACTGCATAATGGAATGGTCTCCATCCCTTCTCGTCATCGTCGGGTTCATCCGGCTCCAACAGGCTCTCACGCCCGGCCGTATTGACTAGAATCGCGAGTAGCTGCTGTTGCAGAGAGGCGTTGGCTAGGGGGTCTCCGCAGAAGACGTGTAGGGGCTTCCTCCCGTACTCGTTCTTCTCGTTGAGGATGGAGCTATCCATCTCAATCATTGTCTGCACCAGCGACAGCACCAAAGCTCCCGTCGTTTCGTTTAGACTGTGTCCTGCAATCTTGTGCAGCAGGGTGAGGCCGGTGAGCGAGGGCTTGAAGGACAGCAGCGACTGGCACAACTCCCACTTGCGCTTCTCGACAGCCTCCACAATCGGATGGCCGTGGTCGATGTCCGCCCCATGTTTGACCAAAACGCTGAGGACGTCCGCCGAGATGCGACCCGAACAACGCAGAGCAAGCGAGATGAGGCTGAGCGAAAGAGGATGCTGTGGGAAGCTGTAGCGCGACGGAGGAAAGGCCACGATTGTCTTTGCATCCGCTCCCTGCCCGATCAGCTTGTCGGCGTCCTGCGCTTCAATGGTGCCGTTGCTCAAACCGACTGCAAGACGTTTCGTCTGGGGACTACTGCCGTCAGGGAGGGTGACAAGGGGTCTCTCGTCTTCGTCTGGCCAATAAAGTCTGCCAGTGGGCCGGAAACTAGCGAGGAATGCGTTCGGCCGACTGAAGGCGACAATCCTCTGCGCCACGTGAAGGGGGGACTTCCGCACAAAATCCTCGAGGCTGGCATCCGTGACGGATGCCCCTTGCTTGATCAGTCTGATGACGATGCGGCTTGCAATTGGAGAGCGGGAATGAGCAAAGGGGACGGCGTCCAAAAGACCCTTTTGATACTCATACCCGCGACCACCATATAGCTGGATGATGTGAATCACCACGGAAAGGTCAGCGCCTTGATCGATGAGCCGGCCGATAGTATCGTCGTCCACATCGCTTTGCACCACAGCACACGCCAGCTGGCGGGTAATGCCTGAAGTCCCCTCAGGAAAAACGAGGAGACACTTGCCGTATGATGGCAAGTTCGCCAGCTCCCACTGCGGCAGCATCTCGGCCACTTCCACCACGACCGCAACCCTGCCCCCGCGGAGCGCATCCGGTATCGCCTTTCTGTTTACATCGGCCGTTGGCCCTTGTGTACAGTGTGTCGCTCCTCTCTTTGTCGCCGGGGTACTTTCAGTCGATGGAGGGTCACGATCGGCCCCCTCGCCGGCCTGCTCTCAGGCGCTTTGTTATGGTGTCCTTATCTAGCTGCATCTTCCTGCTGACGAGTGCGATCTGCACCGTGCTTCCCGACACAGGTGCGGACATGGCAGCTCCCGCGCGACAGTACAACATCATGTCCTTGCTTCCATGCAGTTGCCGTTGTGGGACGCGAGGCTCTCAGAGGTGTGACTCGTCAGGCCGCCAATTTGTTCCGTCTGGACAACAAGAGCGAGGTGTCAACCGACGCGAGAGACAACCATGGCGACGTGCATCGCACTGACGACCGCCCTTCCCCAGACACGACTTTGCTGCCATCTGGCTTCTCCCTTGGAGACACTCCCGGCTTCGATGGGTGGTTCAACTTCACTTTGCGGCGCTATGGCCTTCTTCCCGGTACAGCAATATGGCGCACACTCACAGTGGTACTCATTGTGTGCGACACGTGTGTGTGTGTGTGTGTGTGTGTCAGCCTCTGAGCCCGTGCCCCCTCAAGTCAATGCCTCCGTGCCCGATCTATACGATGAGGTCGTTTCGCTCAGGGGCGCCATACTGACACTCGCCCAACAAGCTGGTGAGTGTGGTTCGCCTACATCACTTATGCAGTGCATCGCTTCCCTTCTGCGCGTATTCAGGTCTCTCTCCGTCCAATCTCACCACGGCGGGCGTGCATCTCTCCTCTGAGATGAACCTTGCATGCCCACACCGACGTCGCCTCATGCGACAAGAGGGAGCTTCTGCGCCGACCACACAGAGCGCGAAGGAGGCCGCTGGCAACTTCCTCACCACCACCCGTAGCCGTCTCGCGTCAATCACATCCTCGTCTGGCGAGGAGTGGCTCATCACAGAAGTGAGCCATCCATACTAGGTCACATCCATTCCTTTGATTTGGCTGTTCTCGATGTAGGAAGGCGAAATCAGCTGACTCCTCGAATCGATCAAGTGCAGCCCACACTGGGCTACGAGCCTGGAGACTGCCAATTTCCGGTTCTTCTGGGTAAGAACGACAGTTGTGCCGTCAGGGCTGACAGTATCACTCGCCTGTCAGAACGCGATGATTATGCAAGAAATCAAGAACCAGCTCTTTGTCCTCGCCCACCAGCACCCAAGCTTGAGCGCAAAGCATGGCTTCAACCAGCTGTACGAGCAGATCCGACAGTCCCAGGCTGGGGCCTTCGGTGGTGACAAGGTCCCCATGGACGAGAGCGACGACGACGAAGGCGACGGCCAGCAGAGCACCTCCGCCGCTGAGGAATTTGACATCCAAGACAGAGCCAAGGGCGCCCTGACGATAGCACTCGGTTGGGGCGAGGGTGGGAGAGAGGTCACCCCTGCCGACGTGGCCAAGGTCAAGACGGCGCTTTCAGGTGGGCTGCGTGTGACGGGCAGATGGACCGCGCGGCACGCTTTGTGTGACTGACAGACATGAGCGGCCTGTTGGCCAAGTTGAAGCTGAGAGGACGACATCGACAATCAAATACGAGGCGACCGGACCGGAGGGGTCTGACGAGTCACACTCGGCCGCAGGTCCAAGCCGTCCAGCGCTCTATCGCGGATTTGACGTCAAACATGCCGGTCCTCGTGGTCGTCGACGTAAGGAAGGGTCTCCGTCGTGTGTGCATTTTGCACACAGCAGCTGTGTGCACCGTCAGGCCTACACCGTGATGCCGGGGGAAAGAGGGGGTCTCATGCTCGTTGACGGCATGCCACGCTTCAACACGATGCTCAAGTCGCTGGAGCCACTTGTAGAGCACCATCCTGAGTCGGCGATGCTGCTGATGATCGACGCCGGGGACATCGGCATCAAGTACTGGAAGCCGGTTGACCCGGCAGAATACGCAGAGAGGAAGCGGGGGTTTATGAAGCAAATGGTGAAGGTAGGAGAATCACTTCCTTCCAGCTTTCTATCTGGCATCGCTGGACTGTGTCCGTCTGCATTGCTGGACTGGTTCCGACAGCGCGTGAGGGATGTCAATTCGGGCCAGGGCAGGCTGGCGGGCAAGCTGACTCTCCATCTATGTCCGGCCGAGGCTGACCAACTCGTGGCAGACGCGGGACGGGTCTGGAAGGTGCGCACACAAAGTACATATGGACGTATCCACTCGATGCCTTGCTCATGTGTGCAGGACACTGGGTCATACAGCGACGGGGGCACTGCTCAATGGTCCAGCCCCACTCACCGCCTGATCTTGGTCTCTACGGACATCGACATACCTCTTTTGTATCTCCGCGGAAGCAACTACAACGAAATCGAGGTACACCACACTGTCTAGGCCACGATGCACTCGCCGTTCGTCGGTTGTCAGGTGTGCGACAGATGGGACCCCATGGAGGGGTGTCGTATGGTGACCAACAAACTCTGGTGGCGGTCATTTATGACCCTCAAGTGTGCGCCGGACATTGATGCCATACGTCGCGACTCAGGTAAAGCATTCGGCCGTCTGAGTGATTGTGTCTCCACACTCAGTCGGCGTGCTGGTGTGCATCAGTGGTGAGTCTTATCTTCGCCGTCGTGATCGAGTGGGGCAGTGATACTGAGGTGGCGCTCGTCGGCATCAACGTCTGCGACATAGCCGTAGCCCTCCGGCCACAGGCGGACCGCTGATCAGGAAGGTGCCTAAAGGCCTCCAAGGACCTCGTCGTCTGGTGAGTGTGACCCCTCCATGCTTCATGTCTGGTGTGACACGAAGTCATGTACTTGTAGGGACTTCTACGAGTCGACGGGATGGACCCTGCTCCCGCCCGGATTTGAGTCCATGGTCGTCTCCACGACGAAGACACCCGCTATGGCCGAGCGACTGAGGAGCCGGCGCACGACTCTTCAGGCTCTTCAGGGCACATAAGTCCAAGGGAGAGGGATTATGTGTCGCGCACGTGTCTGTGGTGTGAGGGCGCTGTCAGACCGTCCATCCACTCACGTCTCTGCGTCTCTCTGACTCGCTGACCATTTATACGATTTGCTTAGCTGCGGTCCATCCATTCACGTGTCTGAGGTGAGCGTGCTGACCCGAAGGCACGAATTTTCTCATACAGCCGCGCGTCTCTCTCTGACTCGCTGACCATTTATACGATTTGCTTAGCTGCGGTCCATCCGTTCACGTGTCTGCTACTGCCTCTGACTTGCTGTCTCTGCGATTATACCACTCAATCAGCTCTCTGCATTGGTTCATTCTGTCAGGTATTCATGTACATGTACTCGTTGCGGTGTCTGCATGTGTGTGACTGCCTGATCATCTCTCGACTTGGTGGGATCAAGATGCAGTGCGTTCTGTCATCGAGCGACACTGCATCCAGTCACACACCACATCACACACGTGTCACACTGTGTGAGGTGATGGGGGGGGGGTGTCGTACCACGTCGATGAGGGTTGGGTGTGTATCGTTTGTGGGGCTATTCGGCATCACAGGTGCAGGGATACTCGAGACAAATCGGGCAACACTGCATCCAGTCGCACACATCACACACACAACACGCACACACAGATATATAGGTGCGTGTTGTGTGACCACCTTGTCGGGTCGGCTGGTTGTAGTCTTGCACTTGCAGCAGATGGAACGATACACGTAGCAGATGGAAGGCTGCAACGCCCACACAACAACACACACGTGTCGCACGCATATATAGGCATGATGTCAGACGTATATAGAGGTGTGTGTGTGTGACCTCCTTGCCGACGTTGGGGGCTTTGGCGGGAGGGTCCTCGTCATCAATCGTGATGCACTCGATGGAACGCTGAATCACACCCATCAAATAGGTGTCAAGGCGTCTGTGTGAGGAAATATGTGATCATCTGACCTTCTCGGTACGCCTGGCCTGTTGGACATCCTCGCCGCAGATGCACACCTTCATCCCACACTCTCGACACTTCTGCAGCGACAGACACAGACAGAGATACGCAGACAGACAGACATACGCACAGACACACACGCGCAGGCCCAGAGTGTATCCGACCTTCTCGCCCTGGATGATCCCCTTGATGCCTTGTTCCTTGTGTGCGGCGCGATAGTCGGCCTTGCTGCGGGCAATGGCCATCGACACGGCTGCTGACTGAGACAGCATCCACAAGCGGTAACTCAATTCAGCTGCGGTCATTCAGTTACTTGCTTCTGGTAGATCTTGATGTCGCGAGGGTTCGCCTCTCCCATCTCTCGACGCATGATGTCTGCACACACACAGTGAGACACAAACAGTGACCGACATGCGCTGATCAGCTCACTTGCGTAGTGCTTGAGCTCGTGGCCGCGTGCGGCATGGCCGAGTGCCTGGTTGGCACGCTCCACCACGGCCGCACGATTTGCTTCGAGAAAGAAATCGTCTGTCCAAACAGAGACACAAAAAAGGCGTGATTGTCGCTCGTGTCTCACTCTCGTGTCTCACTCTCGAGTCTTCCCTCACTCGTGAGAAGCTTACCGGTGCTGCGGTCATGGTGCTTGGGTCGGCCCGCCTCCTTCTTGTCACGGAGCCGCGCGTTGCACCGCTTGCAGAGGCCGTCCTTACTGCGGGCATTGGTGCAGCCGTGCGTCTTGCAGGGGAAGGCATGATTGACGCACTTGTTGCCACAGCCCTCTTTGGTGCCGGCCTTCCGGACACAGCCGGGCACACAGCAGACGGACAACGCCGGCATGACTGACTCAGGCAACGCGAGAGAGAAAGACACTCAAACAACAACGGGAGCGAGAGAGACACTCACTCAGCAGCGGATAATCGTTCACAGTGAGTCCCGTCTGTATGTGTACATGTCTGTGCAACATGTACACAAGAGCTCAACGGCCGCGCCGGCCTTCTTCGCTCCTTCAGGCTCTTCAGTGAGACACCAGCAGCTCGGCAGGCGCATCCGGGAGAGAGAGAGCATCCGGGTGAGCGCTGGATCATCTTGGCGCCGGCAGCCACCAGAATGCGCAGGACCGCGCGGCACTCGCTGCAGATGCACACGAGGTAGAAGAAGGCCAGCTCCAACAAGCTCCGTTTCCCTTGCATGCCCCCTCCTCCCAATGTGACAGTGGCTGGGGCGTCTGCTCCAGTGTCGATGAGCCGTGAGGCCTTCTCAGCACTCATCTCCCCCCGCACGATGCCGCTCGTGAGGGCCTTAGTCTCGTCGTGAGTGCCGTCATCGAAGATCAGGTCGACCTCTCCACCCCGGGAGCTGAGCACCGCCATTGCACCACCAAGTAGAAGCGATTGCCGAAACAAGGCAGCTGCAGCAATCACAAAGACAATCCTACATACAGATCAGCAGTAACGGGATCGATGTGCTCACCGACCGACACACACCGTGCAGCTTGAGGGCTGAGAGAGCGGTTTCACGGAATCGCGAGCTCGCCGCAGAGCGGTGGTGATGGAGGACAGCCATACGCACGGTGAGCCGCTTTATGCGGACGCGTATCCGCCGCCTCCCATCCACTACAAGATCTTTCACAGCAGCATCGATGCCCTCCCGCCGCCGGCATCTGTGGACCCCTTCTGGGCCTTCGGGCAAGTCTTCACCACCACTTTCTCGCCTCCACCGCCACTCGACAGTGTCACCAACATGCTCAGCGACGCCCCCGACGCAGATCTGCGTGAGGAGATGAGGCGGCTGGTAGACATGCTGCCCGACGAGATCCGGGCGATGCTCGACGCCCTGGTGGAGGGCAAGGGGCGCCACAACGCCCGGTTCGACAACGTGTTTCGCATCCTGCAGAACCTGGCGAGCGCCACGAGTCGGCTGCAGCGTGCCATGGTGTGTGAGGAGGTGGTGCGGACACTGAGGCGGGAGGTGGAGTACAAGAGGGCCCTGGTCGACAGGCTTAAGGGTGCCGTCGACGACGCAAGATGTGTGCTGGGAGGTGTGGAGGGAGGTGGGGAAGAGGAGACGGTCAAAGCAGCTGACGAGGGAATGAAGGAAGAGAGGCTATGAGTCAGGTGTGATGAGGGAGGGAGGGAGGGAGGGAGTGAGTAGGTGCTGCTGTACATAGACATCTAGCTGGTGGGCCAACTACATCGCTCGCTGGTTACCTTCTGGAGTGTGTGTCGATGCTTTTTCTGTGAACCTATGCACTATGCTCCCTCTCCGCTGTGCTGCCGGGTCCGACGCGTCGGCCTGAACGACTCCCTATCAAAGGGGAGTTGGTCAGTCCGATGCGTTCGGCTCCTCAGCAGTGCCGAGAGCTGGATACAGTGAACCGGTAGGAGAAGAAACACTGGACACGAGTATGGGCTAAGTAAGCAATGGAATCAGATGGTTGTGTTTGGCACACATCTTCATTATGAACCAAAGCCTTCGTTCCAACAAACAGCCCTATCGTCCGTCCAACCGTCCAAATACGACGATAGCCCAGCATGCCTCAAACACTCAGAAAGCGCACACGACGTCGATCTCAACCCACATCCCAAGTCGCAGCCGCATTGCTCACAGGCACCAAAGCGGCACCAGCCTCGCGCACATCAGTGGCGTTGGGGTTGCTGCTGCCCGGTGGCTCTGCCGCCAGAAGGCTCTCCTGGTGCATCAGCTTTCCTGGTTTGAGCAGCCCCGTCTGATAGAAGGCCGCGAGCATCCAGCCCAGCTGCCGGGGGTTGAAGTCATTCATACGCGGCAGCGTCTCCTGCGCGATCCGCACAAAGATCTGCAAGCCATGCCATCATGCATATATTGAACAGAGGAAGGGGAGACATGGGTGTGCCTCCTCTTTGTGTTCAGCTGTGTCAGATGCTTTGCTACGTACGTCTCTGTCAATGTTGACGTAGCCTTGGTTGTATGCGAGGGCCCAGATCAGCCGCACAAGCAGGCCGTTGTCGAAGCGCTGCATTGCACCCACCCCACCACCACAAACCACACGTTAGGTATGTGCATGGCGTCGCTGCCCGTTGTCAATCGTTTCACCTCCAGATTGTCGGCTCCCCACTCAGCAGCTGCCTGCAAATGAGCACCAGGCCACATACATGGTGCTCTGTTGCGTTGCCCCCCCCCCCCCCCG